TGGGACTCTTCAGTCCGCAGACTGATGCTCTATCCACTGAGCCAAACCGGTTTTGGCTGTAATCATCTTTTACTTCTCCTTTAGGCTCATTGTCTGTCACCAAGTCCTATCTTATTGGTTTGAAATGTTTCTCAGTTAGCCTCTTTCTCTTCATTCCCATTCTAACTTAGGCCCTGATTCCCTCTGGCCTGGATTACTGCTGTTTAAGCCTCCTAGCCTCTTTTTCCTGATATAGCTTCTCCTTCTCCAATCTATCTTATATGTCCCTGCCAGCCTGACCTTCCTGAGACGCTGATTTGATCCTGTTTCCCTCTGCCTTGGAATCCGTAATGAGTCTATTGTCTGCCAAAGCCAAGGTTTCCTAACTGACCCCTCAGTCCCTCTAGAACATATATGATACCAGCCATACACAAAATTGAAAATTTTCTAGTAGCACAATAAAAAGTAAAAAGAAACAGGTAAAACTTATAGTAATATATTTTAATTAACTAAAAATATTTAAAACATTGTCATTTCGAGGTAAATATAAAAATAATATACAAATAAAATATATTTTCATTCTTTTTTGTTCCAAGCCCTCAAAATACCATGTGTATTTTACACATATCACATATCACATCTCAAATCAGACTATTCATGTTTCAAATGCTTAGCACCATATGTGGCTAAAGGCACTTGTTAGTGCACTTGTAGCATGTGACTCCCTTCCACTGTCACCTCCATAAACAAGACATACCTAAATCTTACTTCTTCCTGGTTAAAACAAAATAGGGATGATAATACCATGCCTCTTTTATTGGTTTGCGCCAAGCAAATGTGAAGTGTGGAAGTGCTTTGTAAGTTGCAAAGTTCCATAAGAATGTAGGGAGGTTACTATCAGAAGTAAAGTTTTTACTGACAAGAGTTCAAGATATCTTTGGAGTAAATTAAAAGAAAATACTATATTAAGAAGTTAAATGGGTTGTCCTCAATTCATTTGTGGAAAAAAACAACTTTAAGCAATGAAAGAATATAAACATATGCTTCCTCCCACTAGCTCTTCATAATGATCTTTTTGAAGACCTTTATATTTTTTATTTCATTAATTCTTTAATCCTCAACCCGAGGATATTTTTCCATTGATTTTTAGAGAGACTGGAAGAGAGAGGAATTGACAGGAAAACAAAAAACAAAAAAAACAAACAAACATTGATTGATTGCCTCCTGCAGGAGCGCCACCCAACTCGGGTGGGAAGAAGCCTGCAACCAAGGAACGTGCTCTTGACCTGAATCAAACCCAGAACCCTTCGGTCTGCAGGCTGATGCTCTATCCACTGAGCCAAACTGGCTAGGGCCATAATGATTTTTTTTGAAACAAATTTGTCACATTAATAAGGTTCCTTAAATATTTTTTTTGGTTCCCTAAATATTTAAATTAATCTTTGGCCACCCCTCAAACCCCCCCCCCCCCAACTTTAGTATTCTGAGGAATGGATTTAAGGCCACCTAGTTCTTCTCTTGCTACCAAAAAGTTTATTGCTTTGGCTAATAAGTATAGCCCATGTGCCTTGTAGTGCTGAGGTAGGAGAAGCTTTCTGATTTCATTCAAATTCATCCACTTCATTACAAAGAATTGGAATTGACCTAAAAACAGAACAGCAGTGATTTAAGTGGAAAAGTGATTTGTAAAGTGTTTTCAATCCATTTTATAAGGGAAATTTTAAAGAGCAATTATTTTGACAGGTTGGTTAGTAAGACTACACAATCAGAGAACACATTAGTTTAAACTAGAGGCCTGGTGCATGAATTCATGCACCAGTAAGGTCCCTTAGCCTGGCCTGTGCGATCATGCTGAAACTGGCTCTCTGACATCTCCAGAGGGGTCCCGGATTGTGAGAGGGTGCAGGCCAGGCTGAGAAACCCCACCAATGCACAATCAGGGGAGGGGAGAGACATGGGAGGTTGGTCAGCTGTGGAGGGACCATCTGCCCCCCGGTGCACATCATAGCAAACAGTTGAACAGCCTTAGCATATCATTAGCATATTATGCTTTGAATGGTTGAATGGAAGACTGGACACTTAGCATATTATGCTTTTATTAAATAGGATAGTAATGAGAGATAGGGTGCTTACTTAAGTGATATGCAAATCTTATCCCAGCCCTTTACCAAATCAAGTAGGTCACTAATTTTTCTTTAGTTGTGACTTGAACTATCTGTGGCTTACAGGAACTCAACACTTGTTATAGCTATAACTCTTAAGTTTACAGTGTGGGAAGTAAAGTCAACTTTATAAAGTGACATCTGGGTGAAGGACCCCACCATTTACAGGTTTGCCTAACTAGAAACCTCAACCTAATGCATAACACTTTTCCCCCTCTAATTATATACTAAATCCTTGACTTCACCTCCGAAATACTTTTTTTATCTGCAACCTCCTCTCTATCCTCACTGCCCTCACTCAGGTTTTCATCGCTTTTCTAATAAGCTATTGCAACAATCTTCAAACCAGTTTCCCTGCCTTAAGCTGCAGCCTCCTTTCCACCCCACAATTTGTGCTCCAATTCCCAGTAGAATGAACTTGCTAAAATTAGGAATCATGGCACTCCTCTAATGAAAAACCTCAAGTTATTCCCAGGGCTGAAAGATATGATCCAAACTACTGAGCACAATGTACAAAGCACTTATAGTCATAGCCTGACTTATCACCCTTGCCTTCTTCCATATACCCAGAAAAATGATAATCAAATTTCTTGTGGTTCCCCAGAGGTCCCTATCCTCTTATGAACTCTCTGTTCTCTTCCTTTGGCCTGCCCACTCCACTCCTCACTTCAGTGTGGAGAGTCCCATGAACTTCATGCCATTAGGCTTCCTCAAACCCCCATGTTCTGAGAGAAGCCTTCCCTAACTCTCCGATCTTTCAGACTCCATAACTGCATTCCTTATTGCTTTGTGGCATAAACTCCTAAAGGCTAATTCCTTTTTATGTTCCTAGCACGTAACATTCTTCCCAACATATCATAGTTGGGCCGTAAACATTTGTTAAATAAATAAAGGAAAGAATTGATGAAATCCCTTTCAACTCTACACCTTTCTCTTCTACCTCAAAGAGGAAAGCTAATTTTTGAATTCAGTGTGCTTTGCAATCACCTGCTGATATTTCTAGGTATTTGATGACAAAATTAAAATCATAATCCTTCCCTTTAGCTCAAGTTTAGATGGTCCAGTGCAATAAGATTTTCCTTGGGCCATAGGTAATTATTCTCAAGCCCTACTTTCCCCTAGTTTTAAAAGCCATATATACAGTCTGGCCAAAAGAACATGGAAAGGTTTTACCTTTGGATCCATTTACCTATAGAATATGTTAGGAATATTTTAAATGAAGTACATTTATAATTAGAATCCCAGACTAATGGATGGGGATGGATTTTAATGAGGACCACCTTTTACCGTGTGTGGTTATGCAGATTGTGCACTGTTCAACCTTAGGGGGCACTATTTTCACTCACCATTACAGTGTAAATGACTCTCTTCCAGGGTTATCATGCACAGTCTTACATAGTGTGCCTGCTTACCTCATCCTCATCATTTTAAGATAATGAAATTTAGGTTCTAAGAGCCAATAGGTTTGCTCAAGGTCATGCAGATACTTCATGAGAAGGTGCAGGCAACAATCTGTACCCTTTCCACCTCTTAGTCATTCTGATGCAAATTGCTTCAGGAAACTAAACCTAGAAAATATAGTATTTGCAAGATAGTATTTGCTATATTTTTATGGATGTGGGCAGTATGCTTTTAGCTAAGCATGCAATTTAAATGATTTTGTTCATCTCTATATTATCTATTTTTTTAAATATATTTTTATTCATTTTAGAGAAAGGAAGGGAGAGGGAGAGAGAGAAACATCAATGATGAGAGAGAATAATTGATCAGCTACCTCCTGCATGCCCCACACTGGGATTGAGCCTGCAACCTGACTGGTAATCCTCCTGGTTCATAGTTCAACTCAACCACTGAGCCATGCCAGCCTGGCTATATTACCTGTTCTTGCTTTCCATCTCCAACTGTATTGGCCTGGTCACATGACTTCAGTATTTTTAATATCACTACTGCCCTCGGCCACCAAGACTCAGGTGACTGCTTTGTCCCACCAAGTTGCCAAATGGTGCTGTTTTGTTCTCGCCCTTGCTGCCCTACTCCTTTGTGACTTTTATTAGCTGCCTTCTTCTTTTGGCTTCTCTTCTTGGCATTTTGTGTTGCTCTGTTTTTATAGCCATTGCTGACCCATCAGCCATTACTCATAGCATGTTAGCTATTGACCTTGGGTCTTTGGTTCTTTTCTGCTGTGGTGTGCCTAGGGGATGCTGCTTCTTTGCTAAAACATTTTTTTTTCTTTCTCCAATTATTCTAGATTTGGGGCTTTCTGCATGCTTGAAGATGCCAGAAGAGTTATCTCCAAATAATTGTGGCTCTAGTCCTATAACAATTCCCTACCTCCACTGCTTATACTCTTGCTTGGGAGGAAGAATGTCCAAATAATTGTGGCTCTAGTCCTATAACAATTCCCTACCTCCACTGTTTATACTCTTGCTTGGGAGGAAGAAAAGTTCATGTATATCACACACCCATAGCTGATTTTCTTTTTTAAGGACAATGCATTTAAAAGTTACTCTGTCCTCTACTCCTTATTTCATGCTCACTCATGTCAAACTAAGATAAATACTGAGGTGTTTTGGTGGGTTTGTTTGGGCTGGAATAGAAAAGTGGTTTCAGCCAAAGCCCTCCAGCTACAATGGACAATGTACTGTTTGCATCTTTGTTCTTGATCATTAACGCTGGAAAATTTTTCTGAAACTGATTACTTGCCTTGTTTCCACTTGTTCAGTCCAGATATAGAATAGAATCAGATTAAAGAACTAGTAATTTGTTAAAAGTTTTATGTTTGCTATTTAGTGGTTGTTTGCACTTTATATATTATCCACTGTATAACTGGGAATTTCTTTGTACATGTTTGGTTTTCAGGCTGGATGGAAGGAAAATCACGCAACATTCATGAATGAACTAAAAAATCTTCAGGCTTCTGGACTGACGACTCTTGGTCAGGCTCTAAGATCCTCATTTGATTTGTTAAATCTCAATAGATTGATATCTGGAATAGACAATTATGGACAGGTAAAAATATTTTTGAATGAGTACAGCTACTTTATTTTGGTGACTTGGGGTAAGAATTTAAGAATGGGTACGGTTACCAAGTTTTCTGCTACTTTTCATAACTTCCAAAAAGAAATCCATATTTCTTTTAATTACATTTTTTAAAAATTCTATTTTGGGGAGGTCTGGTATGTGACTGGATCATAAAATAGTTAAAATTGCCTACCTGTCAGGTCATTAGATATCTGATAATGGGATGAATAAATTACTGAGAAATACTGGAGCACGACAACTGAAGAGAAACTTTCAATCTCCTTAAATCCCTCATCCCTCCCAATTCAATGAAAAAGCTCTAGAATGAGAGGAAGGCAGAATAGCATTTGCTGCTGCTATCATTGTCCTTTCCTACATGAAAAGCTCTGCTCACAATAACTAGTCCCTCTCCAGGTTGCAGAGAGTAAGTCACTAATGTTCCTCCAGCTGTGCCAGGATTTTGACTCATGCAGATGGTGTGGATGATGCTGCCATTATAAGATCTTTAATAGCTTTATTTTATGATTACTTGGAAAGCAGAGGGAGAGGAGTATTTGGATGTGATAGTTTGGGAGTTCTTTCATTATAAGAATTTCTCAGTTTATTCTGAATGCTACCTCTTCAAGGATTGTTATTTTCATCCCCACCCACTCAGCCCCTAATCTTTTCCTTCTTATTTATCCAGGCAAATGTTATCACAGTATTGGGAGATCACTGGCAAGGAAAATGTAAAAGTTTAAATACAGTTGTATTACTTCACATGGCTCTAATATTTTTTAAATGTATTTTAGGGGAGAAATCCATTTTTTTTAGAACCATCTATTTTAATTACCATCACAGATGGAAATAAGTTAACAAGTACGGCTGGTATTCAAGAAGAGGTGAGATTTCTTTTCTTTTTTTTAAATTTTCACTTAAGTGGCAGAGAACGTGCAGCTATTTTTGTGGGAGGCATACATTTCTAGTTAAGAAAAAGTTTAATGAAATCTATCTTGGTAATCCTTGAAAGATTGCTTCATTTTATTGAGTACATGAAAGACAAGTGGACCTCCTAATTCTTTAACTCTTCATGTATAGGTTGTTATGATGAAACTTTTCAAATTTTGCCTTCTCAGCTTCATCTTCCTTTGAATTCTCCCCTGCCTGGGAGTGAACTAACCAAAGAACCTTTTCGTTGGGATCAGAGATTATTTGCCCTAGTGTTACGTTTGCCTGGATTGGCTTCTACTGAGCCAGAGCAACTAGGGAGTGTACCAACTGATGAATCTGCTATCACACAGATGTGTGAAGTCACCGGAGGTATTGGTGATATTTACTATTTCTAAAGGAAGAATTCAGTGCAGCAGAGTACAGTTTCTCTTAAGCACCATATCTGGTTTTTATTTGTTTTCTTCAGAATATTTTTAATGCTGCTGTTTAAACTCATAAATAGTGTGATGTTTGCTGCCAATGTAGTTATGATTATTTCAAGTCATATTTTAAAATGTCAAATGTTTCTATTGTGAAATAGTATTTTATTTGATCAAACTTGTACTCTTTGTTTTTCCTTTTGATATAGGTCGTTCCTACTGTGTTAGAACACAAAGAATGTTGAATCAATGTTTAGAATCTCTAGTTCAAAAAGTTCAGAGTGGTGTAGTTATTAACTTTGAAAAAACAGGACCAGATCCACTTTTTATTGGAGAAGGTACAGTAGATAACTTTGTTTTTACCTTATAGTGTTATTGAAGAGAACCATCTATGATTGGAAAGACATTAATCATAATAGGCAGTCTTCACTCTACACACACATTCAAATGGTTACAAACATCCATCCAAACAACTACCATTTACTCATGTCAGATGGCCAGATTCTAGCAATTTTAATTCAATGTCAAATCTTCCTAAGAAAATTCTTTTTTTTCCCTACCGATTTCATATTCCCTGGTCCCCAGTCTTGGGATGATACTGAATTATTTACCTCTCTATTCATGAAATATCTGAAGATTAACTAGAGTGCTACTGAACTAGTTCGATCTTGTGGGTGCCAAATGTACCAAGCTATCTTTATAGAATCTTGTGTTTGTTACTACACGTCAGCAAGTGATTGTGAATATTTATGCTAGTATTCTATAAGATCACACACTAGTATTTTTCTGAACACTTTTTAACTGAAGAACATTTTCTCTTCAAATGAGATTTTACTTGAAGTTCAATATCTTAAAATACATGAAAGCAGAGCTATTTTTGTATAGAGGAAGGAATTTCATACCTGCATTACAAGGCTTCTCATTGCTGTCAGTTCACACACATACACACTTGTTTGTACCTCATTACTAAAGTGCTTGTCTGATCTGATACATACATTTTAGTTGCCATGGCCACAATCAGTGGTAGCCAGCTGCCTAAAGAAGAAAAGGACCAAGTGCATAGGAGCAGAAAGACATACATACATTTCTGTCTGAAGTAGTAGATCCTCGTGGTTACTGACATTTTGCTGTTTAGTTCGAGAACCCTTTGAGAAACTGTTGGAAAAATAGAAATCCCTTCTCCCTAGGAAAATGAATAAAGGCCACAAACACACAATTTTGTATCTAATTTCAGGGGTTTCTTGGACTTCAGTTTAAGAACAACTGTCATAGAAGACTGGGGCACTACAGCCTATTTTAAATTAAGTTAATAATAAAGGAAGTTCATGATATATTGCTAACAATTTACTGTTCAATCCACAATTTTGTGTCCATTTAACATGAGCTTGGAAATTTCTTACTGAAAACCTTTGGATTTGGTCTCATATAAATAGTTCAGATTTTCTTTCTGGCTCCATTTCCTCTTTGTCCAGAGTTGTTAACTCTTAAGATTCTGATGAAAGCTAAGAACTCTCTCCTCAGAAAAATACACATCCCCAGAATTGTGAGTTTAACTTAAAGGGGTGGGGGGGGGGGTCTCTTGTTTCCCTGAAGTCATTACATGTATTCCATAGAGCTCCATATACCCCAGTAAATCTCCTGGTCTAAAGTAGTTTCTTGTTTAAAGGAACACTTAAATAAGTAGATAAAATAACCTGTAATTGAGAAAAAATTGACATTCAAATAATTAAAACATCTTTTACAAATATAATTTAGATTGATGAATGTTCACATTAAGGGTTATATAACTCTGCCTTGCCCTGTTTGGGGAGGTGACAAAATAAATATGCTAGTTTAAATAATTAAATTGCACTCAGGATACATTATGCAGCATTATACAATATCTATTTTCCTTGGAATTTTAATGATGATGGGGAACTTGATGCATTTGTTTTGTTTTCTCTCCCACAACTATGTATACAGATTTTTTTTTGTCAGCATTCTTCCTACTTTTATGTGAATTGGATAGTTTTTATAATAGTTTTTCCTAGTCTGTCTATTTTGGTCATAATTAAAGATGGGAGGAGGATGGGATGTTGGATTAGAAAGGATGGATTAGATGAAAAGAGTTGGTAAGGAGAACATTCAGAAATCCTAGTAGAATCACCTTTTTACTTCTATTTTTCATGAATCACTGTTTTGTACTTTGCTTTTAGCTGACAATTTTATACAAGAAAATCATCAGCTATAAAAAGAAATCATGCCTTTGTCTGTCTTTTGTTTAACTTTTAGATGGACTTATGGATTCATCTAGGCCAAGCAATTCATTTGCTCCTCAACCATGGCACAGTTGTCATAAGCTCATTTATGTACGACCTAACTCTAAAACTGGTGTTCCTGTTGGACATTGGCCAATTCCAGAATCTTTTTGGCCAGATCAGAATTTACCTTCACTAGTAAGTATAAAACAAAAGGCAAACATCCTCCTGAATTTCCAATTTGTTAGTTAATTTTAAGAAGAGTGAGGATTTTTTTCCCCATTAATTTTTAGAGAGAGAGGAAGAGAAGAGAGAATTATTGGAGGGAGAGAGGAGAGATATATAATCATTGATGTGCTGGAGACACATTGATTAGTTGCCTCCCACACATGCCCTGATGGGGGCGGGAATGAGACCTGCAACCCAGGTACATGCCCTTGACTGGGGAATCGACCCTGACCCTCTGGTGGGCAGGCCGATGCTCTAACTGCCGAACAATGCTGGTCAGGCTGCTGATTAATTTTAAATAGCTTTGATACTTTTAAGTCATACCTAGTCTATCTCTTGCTGGAAGTCTAGCTTGTACCTAAAAGCAAGAGAAGACTGACTATCCTGGCATTCTTTCTTTCAGTTGTCTTTTCTATTTGAACTGCCCTCTTTAGAGTTTAAGGCTATTGCAGTATGTGACTTGGTTTTTATTTCAGAGCAGCTAACTTGATTTACATAATAAAAGCAATGACTAAGAAGTGTTGGCATTGACTTTCATGTATATCCTCAGGAAATTTGGACTTAGTCTACACTACGTATAGGTTCTCAAAACATATTCAGATTATGTCTTGGGGTGGTGAGCACACCATATAATATGCAGATGATGATGATGTGTTATAGAATTGTACAACTGAGACGTATGTAACTTTATTAACCAATGTCACCACAATAAATTCAATAAAAAAATAAAATAAAGTTTAGAAATATATTCAAATCATTTATCATTTTAATTCTTCCCCGGGATTCAACTGGAAAAAATTTTTACTAGTCCCTGGAGTTTTGAGTTACTAGACTCCTTTTCAGTCTCTCTTTTGCCCTTGCTATGCATTTACAATTTTTCATCTTGTTTGTTAGTGGCTGTAGCTTTCATTACTTCCTTAGAAAGCTTCATGGATTTATTCTTTCCTAGCAGTGTTTGTACTATCTGTAACCTCATGGTATAAAGAAAGGAAGAGCAGGTAATTTTTGGAAGTCCCAAAGTAGATCTGAAATCTAGGGTTCGTCTTATAGATCATAAATGACTCCTGAAACATATTCAAAGCAGTTTTATTTTTATTCCACTGCAATTGTAGTTATGAGCATTATAATATATGCCTCCCTTCCCCATTGGCAAGTAGATGGTATAGATAAAGAGTGCCCTCCCCCCACTCAAGCCATTGGTGATGCCTGGAGATCAGCAACCCTGTTACTCAAAACATTAGTCTGTATCTCAGTTTATAAAAGGGGCTGCAGAATTGTTAGAAATGTAAGCTCACTTGTAACAGACCATATTTTCCCCCTATTGTTTTTTAGCCTCCACGAACATCTCATCCTGTTGTGAGATTCTCCTGTGTAGATTGTGAGCCAATGGTAATCGACAAACTTCCCTTTGACAAATATGAACTTGAACCTTCACCTTTAACTCAGTACATCCTGGAACGAAAATCTCCGCATACTTGCTGGCAGGTAACTTATCCTTACTGGTTGAACAAATACCTATAACCGCTGTTGGATCAGGGAATTGTTTTAAGAAATTTCAAAGGTTAATCTGGGAATAATTAGGCTGAATTTGTTATGAATGTTTCTCAAAAATGCTATCAAATAAACAGTAGTGCTAAGCAAAAGTTTTACTTTGATATGAATCATTAGCCTACTATACCTTGCCATTTAAGACAGTCAAATCTGATGAAATTGTGTATTTGAGGATTTGGAAGCCTATCCAAGGACCTTAGGTTTATAATTCATTGCCTGGGGGATGTAACTCTAGTCAGCTATGACTTCTGCAGGTGAAGCACAACAGATTGGAAGTACAGATTTCTTTTCTTTTTAAATGTTTTTTAAAAATATGTTTATACTAATTTGTGAGAGAGAAAGAGAGAGAGAGAGAGAGAGAGAGAGAGAGAGAGAGAGAGAGAGAGAGAGAGAACATCTATGGCTTCCTCCTGCATGACACAGGATTGAGCCCCAAACCTGGACATGTGCCCTGACTGGGAATTGAACTAGTGACTTCTTGGTACATGGGTAGGTGGTCAACCACTGAGCTACAATGGCTGGGCTAAAATATGTTTCTTTTAGAGAGAAAGGGAGAGAGAGGGAGGGAAGGAGGAACAGAAGGAGGGAGAGGACACTCAATTACCTGAGCCATACCAGCCAGGGCATAATATATTTTTGAAAAAAAACCATAAGCCCTGAGACTACTTTATGTATTAGTGTAATGTAATCAAACTCTTAGTGGTACCAATATTGGTGTGAGTAGTTTCGATTTTACTTGAACAAAGCAAATGCACATCATTGGTTTTTCCAAGTGCGATCCTTCAACCAGAAGGGCTTGCTTATTTGTTACTAGATTCACCTTTGGATTTTGATTGGTAAAAATCCAGACATGGCAGTCACAGCCTTTTTATTTAGATTAATAAAGAAGTCCTACACTGTAAAGTTGTATGTTCTATTTCTAAACTATAGTACCATGTAGAAATCAGTAATTGTTAGTCTATTTATACAAGGAACACTTTCAGACTGCCATCTGTTTCATCCTAAAATCTCTTTCATGCTAAATTGCTACTAGTTGTCTTTAAGCTACTTAAATTCTTCAAAGATGCTAAAACTGGGTAGAAGAAAAAAAAAGGAACAAGCTTAAAGCAAGAATGTAAAAGGACAAGAAACAGAACAATCTCATAATATTGAATGAAAGAAGGCAGACATAAAAGATCACATATTAGCTGTGGCTGGTATGGCTTGGTTGGTTTGAGTGTCACCCTGTCTACCAGAAGGTTGAGGGTTCCCTGACTAACTCTGTTAGAAGTCAGGATAGTGCTGAAACCGGTTTGGCTCAGTGGATAGAGTGTCGGCCTGTGGACTGAAAGTCCCAGGTTCGATTCCAGTCAAGGGCATGTTCCTTGGTTGTGGGCACATCCCCAGTAGGGGGTGTGCAGGAGGCAGCTGATCGATGATTCTCATCGATGTTTCTAACTTTGTATCCCTTTCTCTTCCTCTCTGTAAAAAATCAATAAAATATATTTAAAAAAAAAAAAAAGAAGAAGGCAGGATAGTGGTTCCTCTCGGGGTGCAGCATAGTAACCAGAAAAGGACACGAGAGGGCTTCTGGTCATGTTCTATTTCTTGATCTGGGTGTTAATTACACACGTACATTCACTTTGTGAACATCCATTGAGTATATACTTATAATTCATGCACTTTTTTATATGTATGCTTATATTTCAATAAATACAACCAAAACATACTAGTAAAAAAGATACAGATAATAGAACACTAAAGTCAAGATAGGACATTTAAATTTATGGGTTAAAAAAGTTGGCAAAAAAGCAAATACAATTATACCTTTTTCCCTAAAATAAACTCTCTTTGTGTGTGTGTGTGTGTGTGTGTGTGTGTGTGTGTGTGTTGCACATTCCTTGTAAATGTTCTCCAGAGAAACTTAAATCCTGCCCTCCCTCCCGACATCACCCCTCAAATATGCCACATGCCTTTTATTCTGACCTTATGTTACTTTTGTTTAGAGTAGTTTTAATGTGATTAATTAGTGGGTCTGAAAAAGAATAAGATGAACCAGGAACCAGGAAATTTGGCAAAATAGTAATGGAAACTTGGATTTTAACTCAAGCTCTGCCACCAACTATGTGGTTTTGAATCCAACACTTACTTTTTCTAGATTAGATGGTCTCTAATGATCTTTTTGAACACCTAAATTTTATGACTCTGTAGGTGATAAGGAAAAACTCAAGGGGCTTATGGGAAATTAGGGAAGATAGGAAGGGTGCTAAGGGACAGAGAGAAAAAGAAGTGAGAGAGGAACAAAAAAAATAGTGCTTTTCTTTTCTCAGGAATCATAGGTCTGGCTTTTGCTGGTTGTGTGTAAGCTTTTATCCTTTACTAGGGCCCCAGTGCATAAATTCGTGAACCTTGAAAGGAACTGTGGTCCACAAGGCTGTGGTGGGCACAGGGCAGGTCTCGGCCAATCCTCCACACCCCCACCCAACCACTCCCACAGTGGCCCCTGGTCCCTTGTCTGCCAGCAACCCCGATTCTGCCACCACCGCTCCCACACAGTGACAGCACTGGCCCTGCTCGCACCTGCTGAAAGGTGCCAAGTATTAGGACCAGTGCCAGGCACTGGCAACAGGTGAGAGCAGCGGCTCTGGCACTAGCTGTGGGTGTGAGCAGGGCCGGTGCTGGCAGTGGTTGTGAGTGGTGGCTGCTGGCTCTAATCATCTCTCAGGAGCAGGGGGAGATGGAGAAGCCCTAAGGGGCGATCAGGGCTGGCAGCCACCGCTTGCACCCAGTGATGGTGCCAAGCGATCAGGGCCAGTGTGTGGCTAGGCAGCAGGAGCTAGCAGTGGCTCTGGCACCCTCAGTGGGTGCGAGTGGGGCTGGCGCTGGCAGCAAGTGAGAGTGCTGGGTGAGGCCATGGCATACACAGGAGCAAAGAATTTTCAGTAACCATCAGAGGCTCACCCCAATGACAGCAACTGATGCCCCGCCTTGGTCTGGTATCCCTGCTCACCTGCTCCACCATCCCACAGTGGCCAACTCCCACCATGTTCTGTGTGTGCCCCCTGGTGGCCGGTGCACTTCAGAATAACTGGTTGTTTGGTTGTTAGGTTTATTTGCATATTAGCCTTTTATTATACAGGATGATGACTTCCCCCTCTTCTATTATATACAATTAGGAAGTAGGGGGAAATCCAACATGTTTTATTACAGTTTTCTGTTTCTATTAAGTTTCAAATTAAGACTTTTGTTTAGAGTAGATGACAATTGTTTTAACAATTGTTTTGTGGAGTCATAAATTACATAGGAAGGATTTATTCTTAGCTATGACTAAATATAGCAAGAAATTAGTGAACTGGTAGATGATATTGCTGGTACCAAGAATTAGCAAGGTAAATGGATCCTGTTTACCATTAGGGCTTGACTTTGGTCTTAACCCTGTTAAAGGCCTCATGAAACATAGAGAAAACATGGTTACTAGGGGACTTTAGCCCAGCATATCAAGTGCATGGTACCTGACAATATAATATATATCAAATCAAGAATATCAACAAGAAGTAAGATGATAGTCATATGTAATAAATATTAACGTTTTGATAATTATTGAATATTTGTTCTACCAGCATAATTTACAAGATAAATGATTTCCAGAATGAACCAAAGCATTTTCTTTCTGCCTCAAAATAATTACCACCAGTGCCTGACTATTCAGTAAATACTTATTTGATCAAAAATGAATAGTAGGTAGGGAAATGGGGCATCAAGGGGAAGTAGAGCAAGATTTAATAGTAGTACACACAAAAAGTGTTAGCATAATCCTTTGAAAGGGCTGTCTTTTTACAATTGTCTGCTTTACACATGGTGCCATCTTCCATTTTCTTAAATGTCTTTACTCTGGTCACCACTTCTTTTGAGAAGTCAATTTATTTTAATGGCTGGTATCACTTAGTAGTATTGCAGCATTATTTTCCACAGTGCTAATAAAGTAAATATTTGGGTACTGTAATGTAGACTGCAAACTGTGAATGGTTATTGCATATACAGTTTCATTTCTTAATGTAAAAAATTGTGATCTGAACATTTTTATTTAGTATGATATACACTGAGTGGCTATATTATTATGCTCTCTGAATGCATAATAATCTGGCCACTCAGTATATACCTGTTTCCCCGAAAATAAAACATCCTCCGAAAATAAGACCTACTTACAGGTTTCCTTCTGAGTGAAATATAAGGCACCCCCTAACAATAAGACCCCCCCCTTAGGCTAAACATGAGAGATTTGGTCCACTGATTCTGAAAGAAATGGAGTCACAAGAAATTCACCAGGAAATTTAGGAATTGGATTGTTATGATGATATTCCAGAAGATGATGACATGATTGTCACTGAATAAATGAGTACATTCTTGATACTGTAAGATTCAGTTTGTCTGGTTTGTGTTGACAACTACCGTACTACCATACCATATACAGGTAATAAATTTCCTTTATTTTCATTTAACAATAAATATGTACCATATTCTTCTTCATGAAAAAATAAGACATCCCCTGAAAATAAGACCTAGTGCATCTTTGGGAGCAAAAATTAATATAAGACACTGTCTTATTTTTTTGGGAAACAAGGTATATATTAGAGGCCTGGTGTATGAATTCGGGCATGGGTGGGGGGATCCATCCAGCCTGGCCAGAGGGAGGGGATATGGGTGGTTGGCCAGCCTGCCTGCTGGTCGAACTCCTGGTCGAGAGAACAATTTGCATATTAGCCTTTTATTATATAGGATATACACTGAGTGGCCGGATTATTATGTGTTCACAGATCATAATAATCTGGCCACTCAGTGTATTTGACAAAACCATAGGCTAAAAGCACTATTTCCATTTTTAAATTACAATTAAACTATGCCATAGATGTGGCTATGGAATATTGCTATGAGTTTGCTTTTACATAAAATCCATATTGTCATAACTGTATATTACTTTATGTTATTCTCAGGTATTTGTTACTAGCAGTGGAAAATACAATGAACTTGGATATCCATTTGGTTATTTAAAAGCCAGTACAACTTTAACTTGTGTAAACCTCTTTGTGATGCCCTACAACTACCCAGTTTTACTCCCTCTTTTAGGTAAGTAAAGTATGTCCTATTTAATCATCTTTAAAATACAACAAAAAAATACATGATGGGCTAAGCACTTTAAATGTAGTCAAATAGTAATTGATATCAGGATATATAAAAAATCTAAACATTTATTTGAAAGGGTAGGATTTGTGTCCTGTTTTCTGTTTTGTTTTCTTTTTGTTGCCTTTAGATCAAACAGAAGAGACAATTAACCTTGTTGTGTGATTCTTATGCTTTTCTTCAGGTTGCAAGGTTCATGCTGTCACCCCTCTCTCCCAACCTCCATTTAAAAAAATATATTTTTACTGATTTAAGAGAGAAAGGGAGAGATAGAAACATCAATGATAAGAGAGAATCATTGATCAGCCACCTCCTGCACACCCCACACTGGAAATCAAGCCTGCAACTGGGTCAAGTGCCCTGGCTGGGAAATGAATTGTAACCTCCAGACTCATAGGTCAATGCTCAATGTTCACTGAGCCATGCTGGCCAGACCCAACCCCCAGTTTTAAGTGCACTTGCCTTTTTTATAGACTAGTTTGAGCCCCTTAAAAAGTACCATTGATTGGGATTAATGCTCCAAAAATCTGATCATTTTCTTCAGAAAATAGGGCTTCTATGGGAATATTGGCTCACACTAACCCTATATAATAAAACCCTAATATGAAAATCGACCAAACAATAGAATGACCCATTGCTATGATGTACACTGACCACCAGGGAGGCAGAAACTGACCATAGGGGAGCACTCTCAGCCAGAAGCCGGGCTTATGGCTGGCGAGTGCAGTGACAATAGCAGGAGCCTCGCCCACCTCCTCAGCAGCGCTAAGGAGCAGTGAGCCAAGTGGTAAGGAGTGAGGGGTCCCAGACTGCAAGACGGATTTGGGACTCTGAGATGTCCCAGATCTCAGAGTCTGGGATGAGGGACCCCCTCCTCCAGTGCATGAATTTCATGCACTGGGCCTCTAGTTCCTTCATAAAAGAATATTCAGTGCTCTTGGAGCATCTGGTTTAGGCACAGCAGCAAGTTATAGCAATAAGTACAACAATAAATTCTGCAATAACTGTAGTTGTAGACACTGTAGTTTCCATGGCAATATTCTAAAATGAACAACTCAGGGAGAAGTTACTCAGATATCACCAAAAACATGTGTAGAGATTTTTTTCTCATTTAAAAAGCCACATTTGTGTAGAGTAATAATACCACGTGGTATCCTTCTAGTTGTAAAGTTGTGAGCATTTTTATTTGGTCGAGTTTCTTAATTTTTTCCAAAAGAATCAATCCTTAATGAGTTTTAGTCATTAAAAGCATAATATTTTGTTATTATAGTAAGTGAAATAAGTCAGATAGAGATAGACAAATACCATATGATGTCATATATGTGTGGAATCTAAAAAACAAAATAAATGAATAAAACAGAAGCAAACTCCCCCAGCCAGAGTGGCTCAGTTGTTGAGCGTCGACCTATAAACCAGTAGATCATGGTTCTATTCCTGGTCAGGGCATATGCTCAGATTGCTGACTTGATCCCCAGTGGGGGGCATGCAAGAGGCAGCCAATCAATGATTCTCTCTCATCATTGATGTTTCTATTTCTTTCTCCCTCTCCCTTTCTGAAATCAATAAAAATATATTTTTAAAAATCAGAAGCAAACTCATAGATACAGAGAACTTTATTTATTTATTTATTTATTTATTTATTTATTTATTTATTTTCTGTTTATGGTTGCCAGATAGGAGGAGATTAGGGAGTTGGGTGAAAAAAGAGGAAGGGATTAAGTTGTGCAAATTGCCAGTTATAAAAACTGTTATGAGAAAATAAAGTATAGATAGCATAGGGAGTATATTGTAATAGCTATGTATGGTGTCAGATGGGTATTAGACCTATGGGATGATCACTTTGTAAGTCATATAAATGTGTAATTACTATATCGTACACCTGAAACTAATATAATATGGTATGCCAACTGTCATTGAAAAATGAAAATTATTGGAAAAAGCATAAGATTTTTTAGTGCTTATGTACTATGTGTATTAAATGTACTGAAAAAGAAATTATTTTAAATGTTGCAAATTAAGGTTAAGAACAGGTTATCAATAGGGTGGATGTGGGGTGGAAGGGGTCAATGGGAAAAAAGTGGACATTTGTAATACTTTCAACAATAAAGATACATTTTTTAAAAGAATGGGCCATCATAAATATATTAGCATATTGTTCTGTATAGTCTGTCTATTTATTAGTCTAATCTAAAAGTATCCTCTTAAAGGTGATTGCCACTGCTATAAATATAGGTTATGTCTCTGAGATTGATAAGATTACAAACAAAAATTACCTGTATTTTGTGGATTTATTTACCCTTTCTCTTAAATATATCTTTATAACCTCAGTTTTCACAATTATACAATGAAGGATTAGACTAGATAATTTTGTTGTTGTTGTTGTTGTTGTTGTTAATTCTCACCCAAGGATATTTTTACATTGATTTTTAGAGGGAGTGGGAAGGAGAGAGGGGGGGGGGAGAGAGAGAGAGAGAGAGAGAGAGAGAGAGAGAGAGAGAGAGAGAGAGAGAGAGAGAGAGATCAATGTGAGAGAGGCACATTGATTGCTTGCATCCCTCACATGCTCCAACAGGTGCCGGGGATCAAGCCTCCAACCGAGGTAAGTGCCCTTGACTAGAATTGAACCCGGGACCCGTCCCTAGTCCGACACTCTATTAGTCTAGATAATTTTTACGTAGACTGTAAATAGTATGATTTTTCTACTTTCAAGTATACTTTTTATTTTGAGATATTTGTAGATTCACCTGCAGTTGTAAGAAATAAAAATATACATGACACCAAAAGCACAGACAACAGAAGTAAAAATAAACATACCCCTCCGTTCCGCTTTTGAGCCCACCTATTGAAATTTTTACTTTGTTTATTGCATTTTTTAATTCTGAGATTTCCACTTGGTTCTTCTTTATAGCTTCTACTCCTCACTTTCTGTTTCTTTTTTAATGTGTTTTCTATTGATGAGAGAGAGACAGAGAGAGAGAGACAGACAGAGAGAGAGAGAGAGAGAGAGAGAGAGAGATATCAGCTGCCTCATGTTCATACCTCAACTAGGGATAAAACTGAAGACTTTTAGTGCATGGGATGATGCTCAAGCAACTGAACCACACTGGCCGGGGCTCATTTTCTATTTCTTTGCTGAGGCTTTCTATTTTTTCATTTATTTCAAATGTGTCTAATTTTTTGTTGAAATACCTTTTATTATGGTGGGTTTTAATACCTTTATTGACTATGTTTAACATCTCTGTCATTTTGGTGTTAGTGTCTCTTGATTGTCATTTTGAATTTGCTTTGAGATCTTCCTGGTTCTTGATATGGTGAATTTTCAGTTGAAATCTGAACATTTTCAATATTGTAAATTTGTGGATCTTATTGAAATCTTCTGTTTTAGCTTTCTTCCTCTCACATTCCTCTGGCTGAGATTTTGAGATACTTTATCATTACTGCCAGAGTGGCAGAAGTCCAGGTTCCGCACTTGGCCTTCCCTGTTGACACTCAAAAGGAAGGGGCTCTTTATTAATGCTGTGCAGGGATAGGAGTTCTGAATCCTCACTCCAATGATAGCTCTCTGGCTGGAAGAAATAGCAGTTTCTCCTTACTCTTCTCAACATGGTCTCCACTGACACCATAGGGTGGAGGTGTCCTCATTATCACAGGACAATGGAAAAGTTCTTCAAAACTATTATGGCTGGAGGAGGGTAGGTGAAGGCATAGGCTCGGGGGTAGGGGAGGCTGGGGGGAGGGCAAGGGGGGGAAAAGAAGACATATGTATTACTATTTGTAGTCCTTCAAACAATGAAAAAAAACTATTATGGGCTGAATTTCAGTATTTCATCTTTGGTCTATACTACTAGAAACACCAATCAGAAAGGATATATGCACTCCTATGTTCATAGCAGCACAATTTACAATAGCTAAGATTTGGAAACAGCCTAGATGCACGTCAGCAGATGACTGGATCAGAAAACTATGGTACATCTACACAATGAAATACTATGCTGCCATAAAAAAGAAGGAATTCTTACCATTTACAGCAACCTGGATAGAACTGGAGAATATTATGCTAAGTGAAATAAGCCAGTCAGTGAAAGTAAAATACCACATGATCTCACTCATTTATGGATAATAAAGAACAATATAAACTGATGAACAAAAAGATAGATACAGAGGCAGTAACACATCAAACAAACTGTCAAATTACAGCGGGAAGGTTAGGGTGAGGTGGGGGAGATAAGAGATCAATTGAAGGACTTGTATGCATGCATATAAGCATAACCAATGAACGCAAAACACTGGGTGGGGGGGCCAATGGTAAGATATGTATACATATAATACCTTAATTTAAAAAATGGGGAAAAAAGAACTAGGGACTTGTATACAAAATAAACTTTAGATCCACATTGAGACCAGGAGGAGCAAAAGAGAATAAATGATTGTACTTTTATGTGTATTAATCACTTTATATTCAGTGCTTTACAGCTTACACCATTTCTCATTGTATCATATGTGGTATTTTCATGTACATAATCTAGTTCTCAGTACAATCTTTTGTGGTAAGGCAGTTACTAAATTGATTTTATAGATGGAATGGAGACACCAAAAGGTGAAGTAATTTTTCAAAGCTCACTCAGCTAAGAATGTGGATGAGTTTGGATAAAAACCCACATCTTCCTCCTCTTCCAAGTGTGAAATGGGGAGAAAGGAACTGAAAGAGAATGGAAGTCAGTAGTTTTGGGGTATTGGCAGTATTGTTTTAATCTCTTTCTATACTTACTTTCTTGTCTTTCAAATGTTGATTAGCTAATTGTTTATTATATCTTTACTGTAACCTTTTAGAGACTACATGTGAATGGAAATTTAATACCTTGGAAATCATTTTCTGAGCTATAGAGATAGTGACTAAAGCACTGTCACCCTAATAGATCTCTACCCTTAATTTAGACTGTGGAAGATTTTCTTTCTTCCTCCCACTCCTGTTTCAAAGAATCTGACAAGAAATAATTAGACTAAATTGGCTCCTGGGTAGAATCATTGCAATCAGCATTGTTAGAAATATTACGACTATTATTGACTCTCATTATCCAATCTATTTACATCTAAATGTCTCTCTAGTTTTGTGCTATTTAAATTTGTCAGTTAGTTTCCAAAATCTGCCTAATTCCCATCAAACTTCACATAAAAGACACAATATAACATGATATCTTGTTCCTCTCTGGCAATATATGAATGGCCTCTAAAAGACTTGCATGCTACAATGAGCTAGCAGTCTCTTCAGATCTTTCTTCTTTGTTCTTTATACCCTGTTCCAAAAGAACAACAACAACAACAAAAAACACATTTTATGACTTTGTAATTCCATTTAAATTAGTTTCAACAGGAATGAATAATTTATTATAACAGTAAAGGAAGAAAATACGTAGTTGCTTTTATTAACTAAAATAATTCAGAATTTCAAAGAATAGCCCATTTGTAGTAAAATTATACATATGGCATAGGAATTGTAATTGAAACTAAAAGCATTTGTTTTTGGATAGGAACCAATAAAACCCAAAGAAACAAAATAAAGGTTGAATATATAATATTTTTGGTATTTATAGTAAGTTGGCAGGTTCATGTTGATGTCTGAGAATATCAATTTAGAATTATTATTTAGAAAAAAAAAATTTCCTTACCCTCGGAAGGAAATGGAGAGCTATTTTGGAAATTTTCATGAGGTGTATATAGTGCATTTACTTTAATAAAATAATTAAATTTAAATGTGAAAAGATGGGGTAACTGCTTATATAAAGAAAATGTCTTTAGTTGTTTTAATGCACATGGCAGTCAAGAAACATTTAGTTGTGCAGAATTTAAACTTCAATTTAGCATCTCTACTTGCTTTTACTAATACAATCCATTTTTTCTTTAATTCTTTATTGTTTAAAGTATTACATATGTCTCCTTTTACCCCATTGACCTCTCCCCAGCAGCTCCCACACCCCAGCACATGCCCTCACCCCCCTACTGTCTGTGTCCATTGTTTATGCTCATATACATGCATACAGTCCTTTGGTTGATTTCTTACACACACACCCCCACCCTCCCCTGCCTTCCCTCTGAAGTTGGACGGTCTGTTCAATACTTCTCTGTCTTTGGATCTATTTTTGTTCATCAGTTTATGTTGTTCATTATATTCCACAAATTAATGAGATCATGTGATATTTATCGTTCTCTGACTGGCTTATTTCACTTAGCATAATGCTCTCCAGGTCCACACATGCTGTTGTGAATGGAAAGAGTTCTTTCTTTTTTCCCCTTTATTGATTAAGGTAGTACATATATGTCCTTATCCCCCCATAAACCTCCCCCCACAACCCCAGCACTCATGCCCTCACCCCACCCCTGGTGTCTGTGTCCATTGGTTAGGCTTATATGCATGCATACACATCCTTTGTTTGATCTTTCACCCTTACCTCCACCCTCCCCTACCTTCCCTCTGAGGTTTGATGGTCTGATCAATACTTCTGTGTCTCTGGATCTGTTTTTGTTTATCAGCTTATGTTGTTCATTATATTTCACAAATGATTGAGATCATGTGATACTTGTCTTTCTCTGACTGGCTTATTTCACATAGTACAATGCTCTCCAGTTCCATCCATGCTGTTGCAAATGGTAAGAATTCCGTCTTTTTTACAGCAGCATAGTATTCCATTGTGTAGATGTACCACAGTTTTCTAATCCACTCATCTGCTGATGGACACTTAGGCTGTTTCCAAATCTTAGCTATGGTAAATTGTGCTGCTATGGACATAGGGGTGCATATATCCTATCTAATTGATATTTCTAGTTTCTTGGGATATATTCCTAGAAGTCGGATTACTGAGTCAAATGGGAATTCCATTTTTAGTTTTTTGAGGAAATGCCATACTGTTCTCTACAGTGGCTGCACGCACCAGTCTGCATTCCCACCAGCAGTGCATGAGGGTTACTTTTTCTCTGCATCCTCGCCAGCACTTGTTGTTTGTTGATTTGTTGATGATAGCCATTCTGACAGGTGTGAGATAGTACCACATTGTGATTATGATTTGCATCTCTCAGGTGATCAGGTGAAAACTTTGAGCATGTTTTCATGTGTCTCTTGGCCTTTTTTATGTCCTTTTGAAAAGTACCTATTAAGGTCTGTTACCCATTTTTTGATTGGGTTGTTTATCTTCCTTTTGTTAAGTGGTTTGAGTTCCCTGTAAATGTTGGGGGTTAAACCCTTATCAGTGATAACATTGACAAATATGTTCTCCCATGCAGTCGGCTTTCTTATTATTTTGTTGATGGTTTCTTTTGCCATGCAGAGCTTTTTATTTTGATGTAGTCCCATTTGTTTATTTTCTCTTTAGTTTCCATTGCCTTAGGACCAGTATCAGTGAAGATATTGCTTTGGCATATGTCTAAGATTTTGCTGCCTGTGGATTCCTCTAGTATTTTTATGGTTTCCCTTCTTATGTTTAAGACCTGTATCCATTTTGAGTTTATTTTTGTGTATGGTATAAGTTGGTGGTCTAGTTTCATTTTTTTCATGTATCTGTCCAATTTTCCCAACACCATTTATTGAAAACACTGTCTTGACTCCATTGTAAGTTCTTGCCTTCTTTGTCAAATATTAATTGAGCATAATGGTTTGGGTTGATTTCTAGGTTTGCTATTCTGTTCCATTGGTCTATATGTCTATTCTTGTGCCAGTACTGGGCAGTTTTGAGTACAGTGGGTTTGTAATACAGCTTGATATCTGGAATTGAGATTGCTCCTACTTTGTTCTTCTTTCTCAGGATTGGTACAGCTATTTGGGGCCTTTTTTTATTCCAGATGAAAGTATAACACTATTTATTTATTTATTTAATATAATTGATATATCACATTATACTAGTTTCAGGTGTACAACATAATGATTCAATATTTGTATATATTGTGAAATGGTTACAGTAAGTCTAATTAACATTCATTACCATACATAGTTATAATTTTTTTCTTACAATGAGAATTTTTAAGATCTACTCTCTTAGCAACTTTCAAATATGCACTATAGTATTATTAATTGTAGTCACTGTGCTCTACTTAACATTTGCGTGATTTATTTATGACCAGGAAGTTGTATTATTTGACCACCTTCAGTCATTTCTCCCACCATCACTTCTGGCAACCCTCAATTGGTTCTCTGTATCTATGAGTACAATTTTGTTGTTTTTCACAGTCTCTATTTGAATAAGGGGAATATGCCATCAACCAGTGATCATGGATTCCCTATTAGGTGGAAATTACTACAGTAGAGTTACCAATATGTAAAAGGTCAAAAACAATTTCACCTGGATCAGTTAGTGTTGTAATATTATATTTTAATGTAGCTTCACAGACAAAAGAGAAATATGTAACTTAGGAATTTATTTCATTTAGAATACTAGAAAATAGTATATGTAATTTTGGTAAATAGTGCCAAGAAAAGGCAATCAAATAAACTCCAGTGAAAAGTTCATCTAATATAATCCAAGTTTGAGATTTCTAAGAAATGATATAATACATGTGGGTTGCTTGATTTAGATCTTGATATTTGATACTAGTATCATGTATTATTGTATTTGATTTTCTTTTACAGATGACTTGTTTAAAGTTCACAAGCTTAAGCCAAATCTGAAGTGGCGTCAGGCTTTTGATGGCTACTTAAAAACTCTGCCTCCATATTACCTATTAGTATGTATTTATGTGTACATATGTATTAACTCTATCAGGGGTGATTCTTGTCACAAGAAATGTCAATTAACCAAAAACTTTACCCCTGAAATGAGATAGATTTTAAATTTATAAATATTTGTGCCCCATTGTTTTCTCAAATTTTGTGTAAGGGCTTGGAGATGTCATAGTGGCACAAAAAGAACTGTTTTGTTTATTTTTATTCCCTTTAACTGCCATGGTTATTTTTATAAAGCACATCTGTATTTCTTTTATAAAAATTAACCTTATGAAGTTGTAATTTTGGAATTTAAAAATAGGTCTGATTCATGTGTTATATCAACTTCCCTTTTTAACTCTAGAAATTATCTATATGGAGTCTCCCTCTGAAATTTTTTTCTGAAGACATTATATTTACTTACTGCATCAAGTAGAGACACTGGTGCAGAGGCAGGGTGGGAGGGATCCAAAAAGAGTAAAATATTTACTCGGCCTCATTTGGATTTTTACAATTTGGGAAACATATTCATGATGGTTTTGAACTGGCCACATACTCTAAATCAAGAGTTATCCAAATCATTTCAGAGGCAGATGTAGAAAACTTTAAGTCAAGTTTCTAGAGGTGAAAAGGCAGAACCTTGGTGTCTGGTGTCACTGGGAGGAGAAATTGGGGTATATTATTATTTACCATGGCAGGAATGGGGTGCACAATAAATTGAAATATGAAATAATTTTATGACTTGGGAATTAAGACTAAAAACAATTTACCTATTTGAATTTGTTACTTGCTCTTCTTATCCCACTCGCTTCTAATTTTTTTTTTTTTTTTTTACTTTCTTCTCCTTACTTCTCTGCTATTTTCATTGCCACTTTTTAATGTTCCATGTTTGGTTTTATGTGCAGCACCTTGACTTCTAAGAAATGAATCATGTCCCTTTGCCCCTTATAACTGAACTTTGAGTATTTTAAGATTTATTCTATTCTTACTGTTGTGTATTTTGTTTCCTTATAGCCATTAAAGAAAGCACTAAGGATGATGGGAGCTCCAAATCTGATATCAGATAATTTAGATTGTGGACTTAGTTACAGTGTTATCTCTTACCTTAAAAAACTCAGCCAACAGGTAGTATTGGTAAAAACAAACAAACAAAAATCCTTTGCCCTCAGAAGTGCATTTCCTTATTCTCTAGTGTAATTGTAATTTTTCAAATTAAATGTGTATATATTTCTACACTTTATGGAACAGTACTAATGTGATTCTCTATGGCTTCTAGCTTCACCATTAAACTGCAATCAAAGGTCTGTCAGTATCATCTGATGCTGTGCCAGTTCTCCTTTTGCTTGCCAACTTGTTCTATCCACAAGCTGGTTGATATTTTGTGGCCTAAGAGGGGCAGAGGTTTGAAAGGATTATTTCATGGTTCACATTTTGCCTATTCTCAACTTAGTTTCTCCTCAAATCACATTGGGGTAGAGCATCCCTGTTTTTAGGCCAGCACATTGGGGTATGGTGTAATTAAATGACTTGCCGGAAATTAGTTTTTAGGCAGTAAATATTCATATGCTTTTTCTTGGAGAGGGGGAGATGAGACCAGTGTTCCTCATACTAGAGGGTGATAGGCCCCAAGGGGACCTGAAGAGTGGAGTTCAATCTTCTCTCTTCTTGCCCTCCATCTGTTACTTTATACCCACACCTCATTTATCATTATTCACCTTGTCCCTTGCCTACCCCTCTCTATTAGTACCTCATCCTCCACTCACCCCTACTTATCATACTTCTCCTCTACCTAGCCCATTCTTGCAGGGAAATGTTTGAGAACTACTGAGTAGGAGCTTTACTGCCATACAAATGTGTTATGTTCTATGACAAATTTATGGAGCAGCTTTATTTTCTTATGCACAAATGTATTCCCAGGTAGGGAACAGTAGTAGCATTTGCAGTGACTACAATGCTTCAAGTTCAATATGTTTGGAAGTTAGATCTTTAAAAAATAGAAAGTAGTAAGCAAAAAGGTAGAAGATTTCACTAAAGACCCAAAATGCCTCCACAATTTGGGATGCTGACACACCTTGTAGGAACTGGCAAAAACTTTATGTTCTGGAGTTTGCCAGCTCTCACCAGTCCAGTGTGCTCATAAATACAAAGAAAGGAAAGGCAAGCCCAGATTTCTAGTCCATAAGTGTGCCCTTAACCCCTTTTTCTCTCTGCTGATATTTTGTTGTTGTTAATGTTTTCTTTTTTTTAATTAATTTATTTATTTATTTATTTATTTATTTATCTATTGATTTGTATATTTTTATTTGATGTTTACCTTAGGCCTTTAAGGCTGTGTCAGCAGGATGTGGCCACTAGGAAGAATAGTGAATGGAGTTGAAACTCATGCAAGTTCTGGGGCCTTCTGGAATATATTATTTGTGTAGTTTTATACATGAGCTTTCAGGATCATTTAGGAAACAGACCCTTCCTTTACTCTTATCCCTTATTTAATGACTTAATTTTTTAAATAAACATTTAATTATAATAATTATGGAAAATTAATGAATATCTCTAACCAAAACACACACAAAAAAATCAAAATTATTTTGAGCTTACTGGACATTGGTGGAATTCCATCTTTTGGAGAAAAAGAAAAGATCGTTACTAATTTAAAATAGCTCTAATTATTAATTTCATAACTGTCACGTGTTTCTTGAACTATCTCAAATATATCACAAAATATGCCCATATGTTGTTATAATACACTTTCAAGCACTATTTATCAATATGGTATAAAAGCGTTTAGTGAGAATATTCTTTTGTAAGTTAGTAAGAAACATTTAGCACATTTTACTTGGTAATATTTGTTAAATTAAGCATTAATTTTTTTGCATGGTTCAATATTAAAACTAAATTGTGTTTTTTTTCAAATACCAATTTATGTAACCTGAATTTTAGCACTAGTTCACATTTATAAATACAGAGTCAAAGATGAATATGTAGACTAGATTTTACAATAACAAAATGTGATTTTAAATGTTTATGAATGTAATTCTTATTCATAGTTTCTGTTCCCTCCATGATATAGTCATAGTTTTGAAATAAGACAAGATGAAAAAATGTACTAAGTTATTTGTCTTTCTAGCCCCCCCTCTTTGTTTGCAGTGGTAGTACAGAGAAGCACAGGAAAATGTTTAATTATTTGTTTTTCTGTGATTTGCAATTAAAAATTATTCTGTGGGGTTCTTAAAGTATCATCTTTCTTAAGTAGTAAAAATGGCAGTGATGATACAGATCTTTTTATAACATACTGTGTACTTTCATTTTAGACCAAACTAGAGTCAGAACGGATTCTAGCATCAGTGGGGAAGAAACCTCCCCAGGAAATTGGAATCAGAGTGAAAAATCATTCTGGAGGTGGTATGTCTTTGACTCACAATAAAAATTTCCGAAAACTATTGAAAGAAATCATAGGGGAAACTTCTTCAAGACTGACTGAATTGAATACCAAAGAATTTGCTGGCTTTCAAATAGGGCTTTTAAACAAGGTAAATTATGGCATAAGTAGTTTGTCTTTGTTTGAACTTGTCTGACACATTTATGTCTCTCACATTACTTCAGTTTTGAAATAATTACAATGCTGTTTTGGATGTTATACTTATTGATGGACCAGTTTAGGAATTATCTCGCCAGCCGACACCAACATGGAATTAAATGTACAAAATGTGTTTAGGGGGTAATGTCTGTGAAAAGTAAAGGGGAGAGGGAACAGTAGTAAGTACAGAGATCCTTAAGATTATACTGCTGACCTAGAACCTGTGAGAAGAAGAGGGCAAAGAAGGGAGAAATGGTTATGAAGAGCCTCAGACATTCGGTGTAGTTGGGAGAAAATCTTGGCACCAAGATTTCCCATAAAGGAGGTCCACATTGGGCAGAACTGGCCAATGTCAAATATCCATATTTCTCAGTCATTGGCAGGGGACAGCCTGGGAAGAGAATGGCTTCAGATCAAATGCTGCAGCAGAGCCCTAGCCCCACTAACAGCACTCTTCTCAGCAGCCATTGCTTCCTGGGGGGATATCCTAGCAACTCACTTCCATGGTGCCAGAGGAACACATCTAGATTGTAAGCAGTGGGCCTGAAAGGCTGCCACAGGAATAAATCTCAGGATTTGATGTTTTAAATGACACACTTGAAAAAGAATACTCCCAGTGGTTTGGAATACTTTGCGGGTGTATTAGAATTAAGAACAAGGCCAGCAAATATAAATTTTCCACTGGGAAAATTCTACTGTAGTCAATTTTAGTGAATGTAGAGCCCTTTACTAAGATTTTAAGAGGGTTAAGAATTGTATTTCTATATTAAAAGTCTCAGGAATAACTAAAATTATTTGTTTCATTTCAAATAGGATTTGAAACCTCAGACATATAGAAATGCTTATGATATTTCACGTAGAGATCTTTTAGACCAGTTAACCAGAATGAGATCCAATCTGCTGAGAACACACAATTTTATTGTTGGACAAGATGAAGGTAAATGAATACAAAAGTCATTTTTGTTGATTAAGAAAATGTCAAGACTGATGTAAATGAAGGTGCTTATTATATAACTAGTGGCCTGGTGCACAAAATCTGTACAAGGGGCAGGGTGTCTCTCAGCCCAGCCTGCACCCTCTCCAATCTGGGACCCCTTGGGGATGTCTGACTGCTGGTTTAGGTCCCTCTCACAATTCAGGACCACTGACTCCTAACCTCTCATCTGCCTGCCTGCCTGATTGTCCCTAACCACTCTGCATGCCAGCCTGTTCACCTGCAACTGCCCACCCTATTGGCCTTCTCGCCTCCAACTGCCCCCTTTGCCAGCCTGATTGCCCCCAACTACCCCCCTGCTGACCTGACCACCCCCAATTGCCTCCCGGCCAGCCTGCTCTCCTGCCAGCCTGATCACCCCTAACTGCCCTCCCCATCCTGGCCTGATTATCCCTAACCTCCTCTGCCTCTGCCCCATCACCATGGCTTTATCTGGAAGGTAGTCCAGAAAGTCTCCCCATCTAATTAGCATATTATCATTTTTTTTAAATATATTTAATTGAATTTTTACAGAGAGGAGGAGAGAGGGATAGAGAGCTAGAAACGTCGATGAGAGAGAAACATCGACCAGCTGCCTCTTACACACCCCCTACTGGGGATGTGCCCGCAACCAATGTACATGCCCTTGACCAGAATCGAACCTGGGACCTTTTAGTCTGCAGACCGACGCTCTGCCACTGAGCCAAACCGGTTTCGGCATAATTAGCATATTATCATTTTATTAGTATGGACTAGAGGCCCAGTGCTTGACATTCATGCACTGGGTGGGATGGTGGTGGATCTCAACCAACTTTTGCCTTCTTGCATTCCAGGACCCCTGCCTGTTGGCTGACAGTCAGACATCCCCTGGGGGCTATTTAGCGCTGCTGCGGAGGCATGGAGGTGGGAGAGGCTTCTGCCACCGCCACTGCACTCCCCAGCTATGAGCCTGGCTTCTGGCTGAGCAGCACTCTCCCCAGGGGAGCAGACTGACCACCAGAGAGCAGCTCCTGTGTTGAGCATCTGCCCCCTGGTGGTCAGTGCACATCATAGAGAACTGGTCATTTGGTCAATTTGCATATTAGGGCTTTATTATTATATATAGGATTAGGGAGGTTGTTTTTGCAATACTTTAATGTATAGAATGCCTATTTTCAATAAATCCTGTATCTTTTAAAACACAAGTTTACTGTTCTCAGGTTTAAGGAAAAGTGTACATTAATCAGTGCATATATTATGTTCCATGCTTTAGCTCCTATAAGCTTCAAAATAACCCCATGAAATAGATAATAATTTTGCCTATTTTATAGATATGTGAACTGCAAGTGAGTATTTTAGTAGTTTGCCCAGGGTTAGTGAGTTGGAAAGCAGTAAAACCTCATTCTGTCAGATCTCAAATTGCATGCCCTAATACTATGTCATCCACTACTGTGATGAATTCAATTCATAATTTTTCAGTTACATGAAAAGAATGAACCAGATAGTGTCCGTGTTAATTGGTGAAAATGTACAGTTCCCTTATACTCCATTTTATTCATTTCAGACAGAGTCACTTTTCCATTTAAATGTATAAATCTTAGCCTGGCCAACCTCTGGAAATTATACACCAAGTTTTTTGGGGAAGGAAGGACTTTTCTATGAAGAGAGCCTGCTATTGTAATCAAATTATCCAAGAGGGTGAGACCCACTAACAAAGGTTCTCTGGATGAAAACCATGGAGACTAGGCTCTTGGGAACACAGAGCAAATATGGTGTTTTGAGTTGAAATGGCGGTATAAGAGATGTCAGCACATTGTCAAACCTGGTTTGAAGGGTAAGGGAGTTGTTCTAGAATTAGTGATTTGAGATTTCGGGTAATAATGATGGCAGAGAAGTAATGAATGGAATGAACAGAGATTGTTTTAGGTCCTAGAATGCTAGATTCGAGCTTTTAGATTATCAGATCCAGCATACATATTGCTAAGCAGATTATGAGCATGTCCTCTTAGAAGGACCATACACTTAAGTGATATAGCATCTTGTTTCTTTTATGGTGATTTTGCAGATTCCCTTCATAGTGTTCCAGTCGCACAAATGGGAAACTATCAGGAATATCTAAAGACAATGGTTTCTCCACTTCGAGAGATTGATCCAGATCAGCCCAAAAGACTGCATACTTTTGGCAATCCATTTAAACAAGATAAAAAGGTAGAATATCTATTTCTTTATCTGCCTAAACATGTTATTCTCGCTATAATTCATTTCTTCTTGCCATGACGAATTATAAAACAGAGATTTTCCTGTTAATTTAAAAGATAAAATATGACTTTAAGGCCCTCTGTGAATGGAAAGTAGGAACCTCCTGGTGCAAGATTGTTTAGGTTGAAGACAACAATAGCTGACATTTATTGAGTACCTGGTAGGAGCTGGTGTTTGAAATGATCACATTTAATGTTCACAACTGTTCTGCAGATGAGTGTTATTATCTGTCCTTAAACAAGAAGAAATCAGAGTTCATAGTGGTATAATGGTTTACCCTAACCATTTTAAGTGACACAGCTAGTAAGAGACAAGATTTAAACCCATATATTTCCAGTTCCAGAGTCTGTATTTTTTCCCACCTCCACACACTAATTCATTTAATATTGAGATTACCATTTATTTCCTCTGTTTCCATAATTCAGATATCTAGTGTTCTATCTAGATAGTGGTAAATTACGCCTCTTGAAACATGAAGTATGGAGTGATGTTGCTTTATTTGGATTGTCCTACTAGAAATCTAAATATGAGGGGAAGGGTGTGTGTCAGAGAGAGAGGGAGAGGGAGAGGGAGATGGAGAGGGAGAGAGAGAGAAAGAGAGAGAGAAAGAGAAAGAGAGAGAGAGAGAGAGAGAGAGAGAGAGAGAGAGAGAGAGAGAGAGAGAGAGATTGACCATAAAGGTATCTATGTGTTTATTCCCATTTTTATTGCTGAGAATTGTGCATTCTTCAAGCTTTCTGCTTAATTGTGATTGCATTTTGCTTGATCTTGGGGCAACATTATATATTTTTTTTACTGATTTTAGGAAGAGGAAGGAAGTGGGGGAGAGAGAGAGATAGAAACATAGATGAGAGAAATATTGATGGCTGCCTCCTGCATGACCCCCACTGGGGATTGATCCCATGACCCGGGCATGTTCCCTGACCTGGAATCGAGTTAGCAAACCTTTTGGTGCATGGGACAACTCTCATCCAACTGAGCCACACCAACTGGGGAACACCTTAATTTCAGTCTCCTCCTTGTTTCACTTAGATTGGATTAAAATTGAGTAGCATCTTCTAAGAATAGAGCCTGTGTGGGGCATGATAAATCTTTGTCCTATGATTAAGACATATTGATGATGTAATAGATGATTATATATGCATATGAAGAGTGCTTCCAATGTTGCCGTTAATGGATATGTTCATTGATGTTTTTTAGGGAATGATGATTGATGAAGCAGATGAGTTTGTAACAGGGCCACAAAACAAAGTGAAACGTCCTGGAGAACCCAACAGCCCTCTGTCATCTAAGAGAAGGCGGAGTATGTCCCCGCTGTTGAGGAAACCACAAACACCACCTACTGTAACTAACCATGTGGGCGGAAAGGGACCACCTTCAGCCTCGTGGTTCCCATCTTATCCAAACCTCATAAAACCCACTCTTGTACATACAGGTATAGAGTAGTGGCTGTGATTTCCTTATGTCTCCTACAGGACTAAGACACTAAATTATTTTACTTTTCTTTGTATTTATTTATTTTGTATTTCGTTTTCATTAAGTAAACCAATATGAAATAATCAATGTGGTAGGTACAGAGGGCCTGGGAAGCAGAGACCCTATTTCAAGGATCTCAATTTCTATCAGGGGGGAAAAAAGCCATACTTATATAGTAATTAACTATGTAAATTAGAATGGAGAGATGTGAGCATGTTTGTCTTGCCAATACAAGGTATAATGAGGTGCAAATATTTGGAGTTGCTGTTCCAATCAGAGTGATAGAGCAGGTTCTTGAGGCACTAGGAGCAAATGGGCTAATAAGAACATGGATCTGCACTTGCTCTCTATGTCCTCATCTCCTATTTTTGCTTTAATCTGGTGCACTCTGGCTGTCTCCTCCACTCCACTAAAATAGGCCTTATCCAGGGGCCTGGTGTCTTACCACACATTTCCATTATTTCTTACATCATTTGACACAGTTGTTCACTCCCTCCTCCATGCAAACTTTTTGGGTTCCCAGACACCACCAACAACTGGGTCTTTCCTCATTTCATAACACCTGTTTTTTATACTCTTCTGATTTCTCCCCTTCTTTGTAAGGTCACTGAACCAAATCCGAAAGAGGGGCGCCTTTAAATAGTGTAGGAACCCAAAGCTCAATTCTTTAAAAAAAAAATTCTTTATTGTTGCAAATTTTACATATCTCTCCTTTTCACCCCATTGACCTCTCCCCACCCTCTCCCACCCCCCAACATATGCTCCCACCCCCTATTCTCTGTGTCCATTGGTCATGCTCATAGCCAAAGCTCAATTCTGGACCCTCTCCTCTTCACTGCTCTCTCCCTAGATAATTCTATGTAGTCCTGGGGCTTTAAATAAAATTAACATTTCAACAACTCAGATATCTATACCTCTGGACTACAACTTGCTCCAAATTCCAGACTTAAATTTAACTGTTGACACAGAATCTCCACTTAGGTGACTAATGGACATATAAAACTCAGTAGGTAGGCTTCATTTGTTTCGACTGAACTTCTGCCTGACCTTCCCTCTCTAAAACAGCTCTGCCTGCAGTCATCCCCAATGCAGTTAAGGACACCATCCAGCAGTGTGTTTGTAAAACTGTGACAGCCAGCCCTCCATGGGTGAAGGGTTTGGGAGGATGGAAAAGCACTGGATTACAATGTTTACAGATTTCCACAGTATAAATAATGCTAACATTATCAATGTCAAGCTAGCTTATCAAGGTGAGGTCACTGAACCAGATCAAGAAGAGGTGCACATAATCCACTTTCTTAAGTAGTTGTGCACGAACATATGTACACTCCAAGTGGTTCAGGTGAAAAACCAGTCATCGTGATTTCTCTTTTATTCTTCTCTCACTTCCATCTGTGAGCAGGTCTAGGCAATTTGATGGCCAATATAATTATTGCATCCCACACTTCTCTGTCCCTCAGTTATGATACCATCTCTGTCAGTCACCAAGCTACTACAATAGCTTCTTATTTGACTACCAGGCTGCTCACCTCCTCCTCATCTGACCTATTTCTGCCATGCAGCCAGAGTGATCATATCAACATGGAAATCAGACAATACTATGTCCATCCTGAAAACTCATCACCAGCTTTCCTATGCACTCACAACAGACTCTCAACTCCCAACTGTAGTCTACAAGATCTTCACAACCTGGCCCTGCCATCCTCTTTTTTAAATTGAATTTATTGGGGTGACATTGGTTAATAGAATTATATAGATTTCTACAATTCTATAATACATCATCTATAATAATAAAAGCATAATATGCTAATTAGATTGGACTGCCAAACAACCTTCCCAAAGTCATTCCGATATCCTTCCGGACTACGCTGTGGTGGCAGAGGTGGTTAGGGGTAATCAGGCAGGCAGAGTGGTTAGGGGAAATCATGCAGGCAGGCGAGTGGTTAGAGGCAATCAGGCAGGGATCTTGGATTGCGAGAGGGTGCAGGCTGGGCTGAGGGACCCCCCTTCCGTGCATGAATATAGTCACCAGGCCTCTAGTCTATAATAATAAAAGCATAAAGTGCTAATTAGACCAGAAGTCCTTCCAGATGAAGTCAGGGCTGCAAGGGAAGCCTGGTGCCAGAAGGAAGCCGGTGCCAACACCAGGGGAAGGAAGGCCTCCTCTTGCACGAATTTTGGGCATCAGGCCTCTAGTATATTATATTGTGTGTTCAACACCCAACATCAAGTCTCCTTCCATCATCATTTATCCTCCCTTTACCCTCTTCCTGTCATCCTCTGTTAACATATGTCCTACCTGTCTCCTTGTTCTCTCTACCTCTGTTCTTTACTCTATGGTCCTGGATTGAACCCTCCTAGGGTTCCTGCACTTGCCCTACTGCAGCCTGGACCTTCCTCTGCATGTTCACAGGGCAGGCTATTTTTCCTCCTCCAGGCTCTGCTCTAAAAGCCTTGACCTACTACCTCATCCATTGAGGACCCCTCCCCCCTTCAGCTGTCTGTCACATCCCTGCTTTCTTCTCCCTAACACAAATTCAAAGTGTCATTTGCTCATTATGCCTCTATTGTCTGACTTTTCTATCAGAATGTAGCCTCCACAAGGGTAGGTATTGTTTCTGTCTGAACTGCTGATCCCCATATCCCAGCATGATGCCTGGCACAGGGGAGGATGAGAAAATGAAGTAGGTGTGTCAGATTTGGACTAAAAAGAAATTCACTTTTCTGAGACAGAAAAGATAAGATCATATGCTGACTGGGATTTTGGTTATGGAGTACATTGAGAGGCCTCATATCTCCGTTTTCTTAGATCTTTTGAGATGAAGAGGAGGGAGGACGAAAGGGACCCGCATAGTTTGGTGTCAAGCTTAGTAAAGCATGACATTTTTAAAAATATATATTTTATTGATTTTTTACAGAGAGGAAGGGAGAGAGATAGAGAGCTAGAAACGTCGATGTCGATGAGAGAGTAACATCGACCAGCTGCCTCTTGCACACCCCCTACCGGGGATGTGCCCGCAACCAAGGTACATGCCCTTGACCGGAATTGAACCCAGGACCCTTCAGTCCGCAGACCGACGCTCTACCACTGAGCCAAACCGGTTTCGGCAAGCATGACATTTTATAGGTAAATTACAGAAATCATGACATCAAGTGAGACTTGCTGATTTAAAGTGTGAAATTTTATAAGTAAATTACAGAAATCATGACATCAAGTGAGACTTGCTGATTTAAAGTGTGACATTTTATAAGGAAATTACAGAAATCATGACATCAAGTGAGACTTGCTGATTTTCAGTTTGTAAAGCATAAGCTGTCACTAAACCACGAGTGCCAGAGATCTGAGAATATTAGTTATATTGTCTTACTTAGTTTCTATATGTAATCATAGTGCCATGAAGAAAAGAAAATGGTTTAGCTGTATTATCTTCCTGATTTCAATTTGAAGGGTCTCAGACTCCATTGGGTAACATCTTCTTGCTTTATGAAACAACTAATTTCCTCAAAACTGAGGAGCATTGGGGTCTACCTGTGGAGCTGATATAATACACCTACCTCACAGCTCAGCTTCTTAATTTTGTTTCCAGATGCTACTGTCGCTCACGATGTCCATGAGGAGAAGATGGAAAATGGTCAAATCCTACCTGATGGCTTCTTGTCAAAATCTGCTGCACCAGAGCTTATAAATATGACAGGAGATGGTATTCCACCTAACCGATTGGATTCTCTGTCTGATGACTTTACTAGTCTAAGGAAAGATGTCCTGATTAACAAACCTGTTAGTAATGCACTTGTTGGAGGAACCAAAAACTGCAGTGTCCCCGCAGATGATCAGAAAGTCTCAGTAACAACTTTCAGAACTGTGCCAAATACATTGCAGATAACTCCTGCTATGGCACAAGGAATCAATGCTGATATAAAACATCAGTTAATGAAAGAAGTTCGAAAATTTGGACGAAGTAAGTAGTGAAAAAACATCCATGGATCACATAATGGGAGGTCCCTCTCATTGTAAAATTCAGAGTAGATTCAAGCTCTCTTGCAATGCATTCTGGGGAAGCATTGGGTTTTCACATAATTTGAAGTGATTCCTCTTGCTTTGACTTTAAAGATGCAGTAAACCTTTCTTTCCCCCCCTCCTTACTTAATTGTAATAGTTTCCTTTTGCTGCTTTAAAAAGGTACCACAGACTTTGTGGCTTAAAACTATATTTTCTTACAGTTGTAGAAGTCAGAATTCTGAAATTATTTTCACTAGGTTAACATGAAGGCCTGCATTCCTTCTGAAGAATCTAAACAGTATATATTTCCTTATCATTTCCTATTTCTATAGGCTGTCTGTGTTCCTTAAATCATGGCTCCTTCCCCCATCTTCAAACCTCTATCCTCTGCTACTATCCTTATATATTTTCTCTCTGCCTCTAACTCTACTGCCTTCCTTTTAGAAGGATGTCTGTAATTATTTGGGCCTACATGCACAAACCTGGGTCCTCATCTCAAGATCCATCCCTTAATTACATCTTCAAAATAAAGTCCCTTTTACTATAATAAGGTAACATATTCAAAAGTTTGGGAATTAGGACACGGGCAGTGTTGGGAACCATTAGTCAGCCTACCACATTTGATTAGTGTTTATAAGTGTTTCCTTAGTAGATATGCACAGCTGGTTTGATTTGAATGTTTAAAAAGTAAACTATAACTAACTTCTACCCCTGAAGAATGATTGCTTAAGGATGTGTAAAGAGTGCATTTTATTTCCCATTCACATTTTTTAAATACTAAAGGTTTTGTTTTTGTTGTTTTTTTAAATATCTTCAGAGTATGAAAGAATTTTCGTTTTGCTCGAAGGAGTGCAAGGACCTCTTGTAGTCAAGAAACAATTTGTTGAATTTACCATCAAGGAAGCTGCAAGGTGGGTGTAAAGGGGAGCTTGTTCTTTTTTAAGCACTAAGGCCCAATACAGGACTGGGGGAGGAATAGGCTCTGCCATGCTTTGCTCAAACCCTGGCCCTCATTCATCCTATTCTGTGAAGCCTTATAGGCTCACCACAGTCTGAAGTGGGTTTGGGTCCTAAGTGGCATTGTTAGCACTTGCTAAACCCTATCTGTACATGAGGAGACATTTTTATTCTATGTCCATTGTCAGTTCCAATTGTATCCAGCATAGTGCCTTGCATATCATAGTGCTTTAAGCATCTATTGGTTAATATCATCCATCTTTATTTTTAGGTTTAAAAGACGAGTCTTAATCCAGTACCTTGAGAAGGCACTAGAAAAAATAGATTCCCACCACCTTCTTAACAACGTTAATCACATCAACAGCAGATCTTGATGTTAATGCAAAGACCAAGGAGAAAAAAAAGGACAAGTTTTCTGTGCTGTAGGATGGAACAAGATATTGTTGAAGCTTCCTAGAATGCTTTAGTCAAGGGAATTGCCTTCTACAAGCTAAGAAAAAGCTGTGTACATTTTTATATTTTATGAATTTCTAGCAGTAAAAGCTGGCTTTTGCCCTAAGAATTTTCTCTGAAAATATTAATTTGTGTTGTTTCTTTTCCCAAATGAGTTAGGTCAGTGGTCGGCAAACTGCGACTCGAGAGCCACATGCGGCTCTTTGGCCCCTTGAGTGTGGCTCTTCCACAAAATACTACATGCAGACGCGCATGTTCAGTGCAATTGAAACTTCATGGCCCACGCACGGAAGTCAGTTTTCGGCTCTCAAAAGAAATTTCAGTTGTTGTACTGTTGATATTTGGCTCTGGTGACAAATGAGTTTGCCAACCACTGAGTTAGGTAATGCTATTCAGTAAACACTTGTCGCCCCTACCACAGGTGATAAAGGTTCACTCACCTGGGCATTTCCAGAGTGACTAGGGCCCGCATGTAAATAGAGTACTACTTGGTGCTCTCACTATGTCCTTTAAAAAGAATAGATGTTCAGAGTCCAACTGGTAATCTTGTGTCTGCTGAACAATGTTTTCAACAATTTCCAACTGTGCCTTTTAAACAGTCACATATTCAGGACAGTTTGAATCAAAGAGTAAAAAAGCTGCTATTCGGGTAATTTATTTCTCTGTGGGAGGGAGGGCAGGGAGAGTCACCAAACAATCTACCTCCAACTCTCTTCTATTTTGTCTAGAGACATTACAAAGTGTACCTGAGGCTGCCCCAACCCCTGACATTTGTTCTTGCATGTGATGACAGTAAGTCTTCAGGTGGACTTGTGCATTTTGTGCTTTGAAAGCACTAAGGGGAAAAGTATGTATTATTTCCTTTAATATTTATATAAAGGTTTATATGGAGCAGTATTGTTATGTTTGTATTAATTTGAAAAAATATGCATACAAAGAGATTTTGACTTTGAACATATGAAATAAATTCTTTTATTGATTTTCACGAGTTTATTAATGCTAGAGAAATTTCTAGTTTTGTCTTTCTTGTGATTTGTTATTCCTTCCAGAAAAAAAAGTACAGTTCAGTTAAGGTGTTAACATAAGGACTCAAACCTCAAATGTCACTCATAGAACTGAATGATGTTGGTGCAAATTGTGTAGAGTACTCTGGAGGTCAATCACTCTCCAGAAACACTAAAAGACTGGGGAGTGAGGGTGAGGGGGAGACTGTCAGAATCAATTTTATTGGAACTCTGGAAGATAGTCAAAAGTTCATAGCAACCAAGCAAATGCTGAATCAAGAGAAAGGCCATTGAAACATGATAGGAGAGTCTTGTGGCATTTTCACTTGTTCTTGCCCCATTCCCCTCCCTGGCATAGCAGTGGTTTTGAAGATGGCAGCCTGCATTCCTAGTGTGGATCCCTGGTTCTTCAGGGAAGAGAGCGGACCTTATTCCCAAAGAATTATGTTTGTCTGTTTGAAGCTATCTTGGGGGCCCCCTAAAGGTTTGATAAAGGGGGATTGATTGCTTGTTTCACCTAACTCCAAACTCGCTTAAGGTGGAGCATCAGCTATATGGAGAATGGTCCTCAAAAATATTGAAAGGCAAGTGAACAAGCTGCTGCTGTTTATTAAAAAAAAAAAAAAAAAAAAAAAAAAAAAAAAAAAAAAAAAACATAGTAGACATGCCAAAATCCTGGGAGAAAAAATTGGGGAGTCAGATACTTTGGAGAATAAGAGCATTGAAATACTCCCATGTATACCTGGGTTACTAGAAAACCATGTGCATGCCCTGGGAAAGACTCAGAGTCAGAAGAGACCTAAGAAGACTGTAAGATTTCACCTCTGCCTCATCTTTGGGCTTAGCACAGTGACAGATAGAACAACTAGTCAGAAGATCAATAAGGAAATAGAGGACTTGAATGACACTATAAACCAATGATATCTAAGGCATCTTCAGAATATCCCACCCCAAAACATCAGAGTACATTCTTCTCAAGTGTTCATAGTATTCTCAATATATTAAGCCACAAAATAAGTCTTAACAAATTTTCAAAGATTGAATCCATGCAAAATAACTTTTTTCTATAATGAGTCAAACTAGAAATCAATAACAGAAGTTGGACCCTCGACTCATACCATAAACAAAAAAATAAATAAAAATGAACAAACACCTAAATATATATGAGCTAAAGTCATAGAAATCTTAGAAGGAAACTTTGTAGTGACCCTTCATGACCTTGGATTTGGCAATAGTTTTTAAAATATGACACAAAAATCATAAGCAAAAAAAAAGAAAAATAGAAGTAATTTGACTTCATCAAAATTAAAAGTTTTTTTTTTACATCAAAGACCTTATCAGAGAATGAAAAGTCAACCCACAGGATAGGAGAATATTTGCAAAGCATGCATCTGATAAGACTCTAGTATCCATAATATAAAACATTTGAAAAGATACATTATCAAAGAACATTTCCAATTGGCATACAAGCACATGAAAATATGCTCAATATCATTAGTCATTAGGGGCATGCAACTCAAAACCACAATAAGATACCATTTCATATCTACTAGGATGGTAATAAGAAGAAAAGGGGACATAACTAGTGTCTAGAATGTAGAGAAAATGAGACCTTCATACATTGCTGGGAATGAAGTACTGATACATGCTATGACATGGATGAACATCAAAAGCATTATGCTAAGTGAAAGAAGCCAGACAAAATAGGTCACATAGTGTAAGATTACATTTATATGAAATATCAGGAACTGGCAAATCTATGGACAGAAAGTAGATAAGTATTTGTAAGGGGCTTGAGAGGTGGAAAATGGGGAATGACTGTTAAAATGGAATTTCCTTTTAAGAGAGTGAAAAAGTTCTCAAATCAGATAGTTTTATGGTGATTGCACATTATGAATGTATTATAGGTTATTGAATTACACATTTTTGAAAGGCAAATTTTATGTGCTATTTATACAACAAAATGCTCTAGAGTAGTCCAGCTTCCATCTGAAGCCACTTTATGCTATATGGAGCAGAATGATTGCCCATCTCAGCCTTGCTCAAATTCCTGACATACCAAATTATGAGATGTAATAATTATTTTTTTAAATCACTAACTTATGGTTTCCAGATCCACATGTAAGGAGCTCAAAAGTCTACACTCCAACTCAACAAGTAAAAGGCTGAACAGACTGAAAAATCAACTCTTCTTAGATCTGTAAGAGAAGAGAGAGCAGGGTAAACCATTGCCCCCAACATTGGAAAGAAACGATTGCCCCAACATTGGAAAGACAGACAAATAACAGGAAGTTATGACTTACTGAAGCAGAGACTCATGTCCAGAAACCACCATGAGAACCAGTGCTAGGGTAGCAAAACCTGAACTATAATGTACAAACTGCTTGATGCTCAGTGTGGACAAACTGAGAGAAAAAACAACTTTTGGTTGTCAAGATGTCAGTTCTTCCCAACCTGATCCATAGATTCAATGCAATTTTAGTCAAAATTCCAACAAGTTGTCTTGTGGATATCAATAAATTGATTCTAAAATATATACAGAGAAGCAAAAGATCTAGAATAGCCAACACAATATTAAAGGAAAAGAACAAATTTGTAGGCCGACACTACCCAACTTCAAGACTTATTATAAAACTATAGTAATCAAGACAGTGTAATATTGGCAAAATAATAAACAAATAGAGAAATGGAACAGAATAGAAAACTCATAAATAGACCCACAAAAAATAGTCAACTGATCTTTCACAAAAAAAACAAAGGAAATGCAACAAGGCAAAAATAAATTCTTTAGCAAATGTTGCTGGAACAACTGGACATCCACATGCAAACAAAAAATGTAAACACAGACCTTACACCCCTCACAAAAATTAACACAAAATTGGTCATAGACCTAAATGTAAAATGCAAAAGTATAAACCTTCTAAAAGATAACATAGGAGAAAACCTAGATAATCTTGGGTATAATGATGACTTTTTAGATATGATACTGTAAGCACAACCTAAAGTCCATCAAAGAAAAATTGACAAGCTGGACCTCATTAAAATTAAAGACATATACTCTGCAAAAGACATATGCAATAAATGACAACTCTCTAAAATATTCAAAGTATTCTTAAAACTCAACAATAAGAAAGCAAATAATCTGACTAAAATAATGGGCCAAAGATAGCATATTTCACCAAAGATGATACACAGATAGCAAATAAGTATAAGATGTTCTACGTCTTATGTCATCAAGGCAAATGAAAAGAAAGTGAGACATCACTACACTACTAATAGAATGGACAAAATCCAGAACACTGGTAACAAATGCTGGTGAAAATGTAGAGCAACAGAAATTTTTATTCATTTCTGTGTGAATAGCCAACAAGAAATCAAAGACTTCAGTCCCACATGGCAAGAAACTGAATTCTGCCAATAATCTGAATGAATTTGGAAGCACATTCCATCCTACATCTTCCAGATGAGAACACAGCTTGGCTAACATTGTGACTTTGGCCTTTTAAGGCCTGACACAGAGAACCAACTCAAAATTGTTCACACTTCTGAACACCACAGAACTGTGAACTAAGAAATTGGTGTTATTTTAAGCCACTAAGTTTGGGGTTAATTCTTTAGCCACTAAATTTGGGTAATGTGTTACACAAAATAAAAACTAATACACACAGCACACACACATGGGATAAAGTGCAATTACTATTTTTCACCCAGGAATACTGCATGCTATATATTTCTGGTATATACCTTCTTAATAAATGCTTTTAGATTTTTCTTCATAAATAGTTATTGCACTTTATCCCATGTGTTTTCTGCACTCATTGCAATGATCGCATGACTTTCCTCTTTTAATCTATTAATAAAGTGTGCTGGTTGTATTGCCTGTAAGCTTCAAATTTACTCCTTTTTCCTTGCTTTGT